AGTTATGAAACAGGCTGATCATATTTGTCAGCCAGAATTTTCAGAGACCAAATTTAGAGTTTTCTATATTTCCTGTCAATCCTCCCAAGAAACACAGACCTGCTGAGGGGGAAACTGTACAGATTTCTTTATCCTGTCATCATTTTTAACTTCAGATGTAAGGGCGCAGAGAAAAGCAGTGCTGAACTCATTTTCTTTTGTAACCACTCTATTAATAGGGGATCGACATGCACCGTAACATCTGTATAATACTAGAAGGGTTTGACAAGACAGTAAAAGATGTATCTTAGTAGCCCTGGAGAGGAAAAAAAGCACAAGTGTTCAGAACAACGTTAAAGTTTCCAGAAAACAGAAAAACTAAGAGCAGGTATAAGCCACAAATACTGAAAACAAAACAAAACAAAAAACCCAACAGAAAAATGAGTATAGAAAACAAAACCATTGGGAGGAAATAAAAATCACGGGCAAATACCAAACGTCTTAATAGCTTAGTACTGCTAAGCAGCAGGTCAAAGATTCTTCACTGAGAAGCAACACATGAAATGCATATGCTGTATGCACACCATGACAGCTGAAAGGAGGAAGGTACTTTGCTCAAAGGATCTCTAATAATACACAACTAAGACCAGTTCCAGGGTACTGTTGCTGAACTTCAAGATCTTACACTGAGTGGTATGAACAGCCCTTTCTTGGTTCCTTTAAGTCAAGGCTGAATTTCTCATGTAGGGAAAAAAAAACAAAAAAAACCCCCACCAATCTCATTCTCTGCTAGCATCTGCTATTAGCAACTTACATCTTGTTATCACTATAATCCCAGAGACCACAGCGCTAGATTATCCTCAACACTAACTTTGATTTATAAAGCATAATGCAGATTTAATTTGGAGATTAAACCTCTAACACATGGTTCTAGTGCACTGAATTTGAGATTGAAAGAATTGAAGATTGAAATTTCAAAGAAGCTGTGGATATCCCATCCACTGCAGGGGGTTGGAACTGGGTGGGCTTCAAGGTTCCCTCAAATTAAGCCATTCCACTATTCTCTAATTATTATTTTTTTAATTTATACCTTTCTTGTGGAAGTTTAATCCCCTTTGCTTAGTGAAGTACAGCGTGACACTTTCTAGGAAGACTTCTCTCCCAGAACTTGTCAGAAGGAGCAGAGATGAAGCAGCTGAGAGCAGCCTCTCAAGCAACATGACCATGCCTTCAGACCATGGGCTTCCTGTATTTGAGTGTTAGACTCATCCTTTCTTCCAACGTTGAGGTTAACATTAGAAATCTGCAGCCTATTCAAAGATTTTAATTCTTCCTTGTCGTCACTTCACTACTGATCACTGCACTGAAAAAAAGACTAGCAGTCCAATAGCCCTGGATCAATACAGGACATCTTCCCAGTCAAGCACTTTCTAAAATTTCTTTTCTTCTTGTGGCATTTTGGTTGATTTCACAGATACTGAAACTTTTCCATTTACAGCACCAATTAAGAAATAATCTTGCTGTCTCCCTCCGACACCAAGTCCATACAAGATCTATCCTGACCTAGATCTCTAGAAGAAAAAAAAAGTTGTACTAAACATGCTCCTGGCTTTCTCAGCTCTAGAATTTCAGGCTGCCATTCTACCTTATACTAAATACTTCCATGAATATTGTTCAATCTCATGCCCACATAACTTGATTGCAACTTGAAGAACTAAGCCTGAGCTGCTACATTTTCTTTAAAATAACTAAATGGTAACAAAGACTGCAGGCATGTGAAGTTATAAGTGTAGTAGTGTAATATGTAAATACTTGTGGGGTTAATGAAAAGGGAATTAAGGCTTTTGAGAGCTATGCACCAATCTTCTAACTTAGAAGAAAAGTTTGGCCTAATTTAATATACTTGCAAAGCAAATATTGCGCTCTATTACCTATCCCAAATCAGGATTCTGACCAAACTTTGTTTTTACTATTGACATAACAGCTTTGTTGTGCCCAAATTTTGTCCCTTCTGAAAGGGCAGCATCTTCATGTTAAATTTTAAATGCATTAACGAAAGCTGAGAAAATAGAGAATGGAAAGAGTTATTGCTTCTTTCCTACACTGTAAGGCACGCTGAGCGATGCAACAAATGCTAGAACCTCATTTGAACTATTGCAGCAACTATAGCTCCAGAGGAAGAAACTACCTACTTTTAAGCTTAATATATCTTGTTCAGAGAGATCCAAGAAGATATTTAAGCGTAAGCCAGAAACTCTGCCCTGACACATTATTGAATGAGCCCATTTTTATGAAAGACAGTTAATAGAAAACTGTTTCAAAAGGCTAACATTTTTTCAAACAACTACATAATAAAAATATTAATAGGGCAAAAATGAAGGAACAGTTAGACCTCTGATTCTCTAGAACAATTCTGGTACAATTTGAGGCCGTACCTCAAGTACTGTGTTCAGTTTTGGGCCCCTCATTACAAGTAACACATTGAGGCCCTGGAGTGTGTCCAGAAAAGGGCAATGAAGATGGTGAGCACAAGACTTCTTCTCCATTCTACATTAAAATGCTTCTAAATGTAAGGCTAGTGAGTATTATTAATCTTAGCTGTGTACATTTTCAGTTTGCTCCTACTATATATAATCATACAAACTGAATTTTCCACAAAGACCTATAATGTTAAGGATGTTATGGAGCCAAATGAAATTACATGACAGTGAAGTCTAAACTTAAGATAGAAATAAGAATAAATGTTACTTCAAATTAAAGAAGAAAGAGCCTTTTAAAAAAAGAATATGCAGCGGTATTTCAAAACAGATATGGAATCCAGGCCCTTTGAGGGAACAGTGGGTTCAGTCAGAATTATAATGTTATGTACAGACTATAGACCATAAGGCCAAAAGCAAACAAATAAGTGGAAATGAACTGAAATATTAATATATTTCAGGGAATATACACCATGTATTTTCCTTCCTAGACCACATAATGTATCTTGAAATATAAATAAAAATCAATAAATGAAGAAGCTAGATTAAAACTATTAACTAAGGTAACCTCTTAAATCACGCAAGTCTGTCTGCATGCAAGTTCAGTATTTCATAGGATGATATTCTACAGGAAAGGTAAATCACTAACTCAAGATCAATATGTTGATTATCCCAACACAAGAAACAAATTAAGGTATCAAACAATTAGCACACATTTTGAATAAGTATCAGTGGAAATAGCACATCAGTATCATCCCTATAAGGTTTCCAAGGGAATACAAGTGAAAGAGGCAATAAGGTAAGTGTTCATACTAATAGAAGACTTCTAAATGAAAAGGAGACTTTTAACTGTGAAAAGAAGATCTAATTCCTAAACATCTGTAGCTGAAGGTTCCATAAATTCAATCCTTGCAAAAATAAAATTTACTACTGTTTTTCACATTTGAAAGAATGAAGTGCATATACCTGTAAAGACAGCATAAAGACCAATCTACACAAGTATGTTATAGATATAAGCTGCTTATCATATGAAGTTTAACAGTTTATATTTTAAAGTAGAGTAATATCTTAATGAACACATAAACAAATAACTTGGAAACTAGTTTTTTTTTCTTTCTTTTCTTTGCTTAAAAGAGATGTGATGCCATACCCAGAACATCTACGTATGAAATACTCCTGCTCTAACTATAATTAGCATGTCCCACTTAGAGGTAGCTTCCTTATCTTTGAATGCATATTGATTACTTCCCCAGTAGCACGTAAATCAGTGTCACAGAAACTGATATACAGTATTGGGTGCTTAGGTTGCTGTGGCCATACTGGATGCTCTTTGAGGTATCTACCTCTGAATAAATTCACCTGAATGTCCTCCACTGAATTTCCCCCAATGAATATGTATTTGAGGAAGAAACATATTCTGTGAGGCCAAGAACCAGGGAGCACTGTGAGTCAAAAATCAATCTTGATCTTAAAATGGAATTAAGCATATAAAAACATGAGTAAATCTCTGTCTTGCATAAAATTAGTTTATCCCATTACGTGCTTTTGGGGAAAATAGCTAAGAATTCTTACATGATATTATAAAATACTTTTTGGGCCAAGTACCATAACTTACTGCTTCCTGAACCTGACTGTATTTCACAAGAACAATCCGAGGCTTTTCACAGAACATTTCACTAGCTCCTTTGCCTATACAAGATCAATATTCTTAAACAATAAAATATTTTTAAGAAATAGATGTTTTTAGGATCTTCGTAACAGCTGTAAAACCTTAATATATCCCCGTATCTTCACAAGAAATAACCTTAATAAGGCAGGGAATTTAAGAGCAAACTTAGCTTGATATGCAAAAGTACTCTTTTCTGCTAAAGTACACAGTATGACAGAATAAGTGTTGGGTTAATACAGGTTAAAACTTCTGTAGGGCATACATCTATCATACAGTAATCTTAGCAAAAATCTTCAAAACCTCTATTACATTTTCTGTCCAAATCTTGACAGTTATAAAGTACTAACATTGTAATATAAAATTTGAGCTCCTTTTAAATATCTTTCATGGAATTTGCCCACAGCCAGGTTTGGACCAGGGAGTGGCACAGGAAGATAATAAGTTATTATTTACAAACAGAGAATTAACTACATCTGATTATTTTAGGCAATTGTAATGACTAGTTTCTGTAAAAGTATATTCAAATTTCATTATATCATTCCCAGGTTTTCATTAAAAAAAGGTTAACGGTGTAAGTCTGCTGTTTTGTAATCACTTCTGCTTCACAACAAAAAACAGACACAAATCTTATTTCAAGGTCTATGAGCCGATGGTCAAGTCCTGGGTACCCAAACTGTGCTCAAGTTGAAACTAGATGATCATCGTGGTCCTTTTCAACCCAGGCCATTCTGATTCTAGTATTCTATGAAATGCAGTCTCTAAACATTTCCTTCAGATTACATTCTCTGCGTTCAACAAATTAATTTCTTACAAATGCTAATAACTTTATAATGCAGTCCATACTCTCAAATACTGTTGCTAATGCATTTTCCTACCTGCAAAGGGAACAGGTGCATCCTTATCCAAAGCAACAAGAGGAGGATCCAAAATTACAGTGTCATTATTTTCGGTTATGATTCCATGGTATGATGTCTCAATCCAGGGCTTATGCTTGTTCACTAAAGAAGAAAAAAAATGTCTGATCAATTAATTTATAGTTCATATACCACTAGTGTATCTTATCTTCTTTGAAGAGAAAACATTTAAGACATATCCAATATTGCTACTCAAAAGTCACTTACAAGGCCCCAGGTTTCTTTATAAACATTCAAATGACATTATAGCCATCCCTCCAATAAAGACACCAAAATAAAAAGCCAATTTTCGAAATGTTTTTAATGAGTTCCCAACTGTCCAACACAATTATGGTCAGATAGCTTTAAAGGAATTGCTTTTGGTTGCAAAACTCTGATCCAATTAAAAAAATGTCCAAAGAAATACAGCTTTTGTCAAGATTCAGAGGCAAGTAGAAAGGCAGGCAAGAATACCTGTACTCCAGGCAACTACTCATTTTACATTTTTTAGAAAAATACCTAAAAGTACTCTTGTATTCTCTACCTTGTAGAGAACAAACCATGCATCATCAGATTGTCTTACTCCTGAATGTTTTGAATGTGACCCTCTTTTAACAACCATCCCCTATTTATTGACATGACAACATGACTTGGTCTTCCTTTCTGTTTTGTAAGAAGCATAGCTTTGCTATGCTTAAAAACTGCATTTAGATCACACAGTCATCATCTGACTTTTACATTTTTGTAACTCCTATAGAAGAAGTACAAATTCCAATTTGAAGCATGTTCTACCACAGGCATCAGTAAATACTATGCTAAGGATGTGTACCACATTACCACCAAGTCCATATACAACATAATTTTCATACATATTATTTAGCTGTGTGTATCAAACGCTGAGAAAAACACCTGGTGAAGTAACAGGAATCATCCATCTCAAGACAAGACAGAAGGCTGACACTTAAACAAAAGTCAAATTTAACTAGATGGGATTATTTTGAACAATCACAGAATTGCAGGGGTTGGAAGGGACCTCAAGAGATCACTAAATCGAATCCTCCTGCTAAAGCAGATTCTCTACAATGGGTCACACAGGTCAGTATCCAAACAGCTCTTGAATATCTTCACAGGAGACTCCATAACTTCTTTGAGCCACCTGTTCCAGCATTCCATCACCCTTATTGTAAAGGAGTTCTGCATGTTTGTAGGGAACTTTCTATGTTTAAGTTTTAGACCATTGCTCCTTGTCCTATCGCTGCACACTGCCAAGAATAGCCTGGCTTCTGCCTTCCATCTTCCTTTAGATATTTATTAACATTAGTCAAACTGCCCTTCAGTCTTCTTTTCCCCACTCTAAACAGACCTAAGTCACTCAGCCTGTCCGCATATAGGAGATGCTCCAGGCCCCCAATCATCTTTGTGGCCCTCCTCCGGACTCCTTTTAGGAGAATCACAGTATCACAGAATGGTTTGGGCTGGAAGGGACCTTTAAGATCACCTCATTCTCCCCAGTTCTCACCTAGTAGATCTCCCTACCATAAGCAGCAACACCTCCCCCTAGACCAGGTTGCTCACAGCCCCACAACAAACCTGGCTTTGAATGCCTCCAGGGAGGGGGGATTCACAACCTCACTGGGCAACCTGTTCCAGTGTTTCACCGCCCTCACAGTAAAGAATTTCTTCCTAATATCCAGTCTAAATCTTCTCTCTTTCAGTTTAAAACCATTTCCCCTCTTGCCTTGTCACTATGTGCCCTTATAAAAAAAAAAAACAAACCCTGCCTTTTTTGAACTGGTGGGCTGAGAATAAGACACAGTAGTGATATTAAAGAAACCACAACAACCAACAGTTCCTCACACATACACACCACCATCAACTCTTTGTTGCCTTGTCTTCAAAAACCCTCACACAGGAACAGGTTTGATATTTCACTCATAGAGCTTCTTTAAAGTGAAAAAAGTAGTTCTAGACATCAAAGACAACTGAGAAAGTTTGTTCACAGTTGAGAAGCTCAACAATTAAGACTTCTTGTGTTCCCTAGTCATTTGGAAAAAATAAATACATTTATGGCCAACTGATGTTACATCTTTTTCCTTCTTGCTCCTTTGTTTAATCATTAGGAAATTGTGGTCTCAGGAAGAATGATCTGAGGCTCTTTTAAAGCTGAATTATTCAATACTACAATTAGTAAAAGAACTTTGAGTTAACGTATATGTTAGAGTATATATTGTTTCAGAGGAAGTTATACTAGTTTTCTACAGTTCTTTGCCCATTTGCCAATAACTAAGAAATGGAAAGATTAAACTGGGGATATATCAAGGAAAGGTGAAAGGAAAGTAGGAAATTCAAATCTCTTTATTATGTAATGACTGAACACCCAGAAGGAAAAACTGGTGAGTTTTATATAATGAGATCCTAGTTTGCAGGGCAGATGAAGTCTTTTATATGTATTATCTGAATAGATGAATTGCCTCAGCAGAAATAGTTGTACACATAAATATGCTCCACTTATAGTCCGATACCACTCCAAGAGTTTGATTGACAGAATAACAATCCATCTCTTGATTAAATGCAGATACAATTCAACAATAACTGAATCAGTTTGAATGAAAAAGAAAGCCCTTAAGCAACTAAAAATACCAAAGGCAGATTTTCCTCCTTCCTGGTTCTGTTAATTGCCTGAGCTCTTACAAACAAAACAAACAAATAAAACAAACAAACAAAAAAAATTAACAAAAAACATACTAAAATAATCAAAATAAATCTTAAAAAACCACCAAATAAATTGCTTTTATTCCTACAACAGATTCTGCATAATCATTTTGATGATGCTGTTGCTTAAGAAATTGTCTCAGCATTCAGTGATTGCAACTCTACAAGCACTGTCTTTTTTCCATTAGCGTCCCATGAGCTATAACAACAGGCAAGTCAATGACAGCAACATAATTCCTTATATTACATTAGAGCAGGAAGAGAAGAAAGTAGATTAAGAACAATTGCTACAATTTAGTCCTAGACCTTGGAGACTGGCATAGCAGGAAGAAAGGAACAATAAAACAAAAGCAAAACACAATGGAAGTTCTAATTATTTACAAGTTCTAACGATGTGCTTCTCCAAAAGAATAATTATGACTATATGAGATTAATGTAACCTGTGGTAACTGGTTTTTAAAAAAGATGTCAAAAGCGTTTTGTTCTTTCCTCCTTTCCTCCTCTAGCTACTGAGTCACATTTGAAGATATTTGAGAATTAAATTCATTTAAATACAAATCAGATATTTTTTTAGTGATGCCCGCTTTAAAAACATGTCATTTCTCCTCCCTTATCTACTTTATTTTTTTGTTAGTGTACCGAAATAACACAGCACATGCAATGCATCCACTTATCAACTCTCCTTCCTTAGAGCAGGATATGTTCAAAACAAGATTTCCAGTAACTTGAGCAGTACCTCCTTTGACCGTCTTGTTTTCTAGCTCTGACATTCAAATACAAGGGCTGCTGGGAAAGTAATGTAGAAAACTACAGAAATCCTGTGAGACTAATTTTGATATTTTTTTTACCCTTCTGACAGATTCCCAAAACCGCATTTGAATAGCATATTGTTATTTTATTAATGTGCATGTGTATATAGATACATAATTATGCATACATAATTATCATTTTGATCCTCATTTGGCTTTAAATGGCTCTAGTCAGTGTTGAAGTTAGTTTCTTTTATCAGTTACATCAGTAAATGAAACCTTAAGTTTCCAAAGTTAGAGCAATGTCACTCTGCATTTATTAAAAAAGAAAAAGGAAGCAAAAATTGTTTATTCTGTTGTCTTCTTTACACTATCTGAAATAGAACATTTAAACAGAAAAATAAATTGAAAATTGAAATTCACACTGTGTAAGAAACAACAGTCCTAAGCAGTCCTATTATACAAAGTGTTTATACTGGACAAAGACTCACATCATCATTTCTGAAACTGTTATAAACTTAAAGATAAGGAGGGAATGCAGTATTTATCATAAAAATGTAAGAAGTAGAAATTGCTACCAAAAAAAAAAAAAAAAAACCAAAACATTTCAATGTTTTAATGTTAATTTAACAGTTCTTGCAGTTAATAACTGTCTATAAGAAAGCAATAGTAAAAGTGCACTTTGCATTTGTTAAAGGTGATGGAGCAAATTTTTATAGGGGCGTGTACATGCAAGTTTCAGGAACTAAGAGAGTAGTGTACAATACAGAAAGAGAAACTCAGTAGAGCAAAAAAGCATGAAATTCAGCTGATAAGAAGTAAACAGTAAATTACTTTTCCTGTTGGGCTACGTTATGTTGCAGTATACTGCTATGGTCTAACCTGACAGGTGGCAAAGCACTGCAGTCATTCATTACCTCCCTGGCAGAATGGGGGAGGGAGCCAGGGAAAAAGAAAGTAAAATTTGTGGGTTGCGATAAAACTATTTACTAAAACAGAGAAAAGGAAAATAATGATATTTATTACTATTTAAATACATAGATATGAATGTATATAACAAGCAATGCACAAACAATTGCTCACCGTTCCCCCAACCCACGCCCAGCTATTTCGTCAGGCATGGAAGAGAGCAAGTTGAACTTGCACTCCCTTCAGAACTCTTTCTACATGATGATGGTATGAACACCTTTGTGGCCAGTTTAAGTCAGCTGTGCTAATTCTGTTCCTTCCCAGCTCCTGTACCCTTTGCTGAGAATGGCCTTAGCTCTGTAAAACACTGCTTAGCAGCAACATCAGTGTATTATCAACACTGGTTTTCGCCAAGGACTGAAAACACAGCATCACAGCAGACACTGAAAACAACAATTCCATCCCAGCTGAAACTAAGACACACTCCTAGAGTAACTCCAAAAATAAAAAATATACTTTTTTATTTTTATAAAAGATCTGCCTCCAAGGAATGAAAGCATTTGATTGATACATGCAGTACAGAATAAGTGTTGCTCTTAATTCGCCAGATGCCTTTTACTTGAACCTTTCTGTCGAGGTAAAAGTCGAAATCAGTACCATGGGTTCAAAAGTTCAAACATATTTAAGACATAGAGTTGACTTGTACCAGGACTAAAACTGGGTTTTTTGTTTTCTAAACTTCTTCTAACTAACAT